TATTCTCTCTCCAGGTGCAGACTGGAATCTGGTTTTTCTCACAGCCAGAGGCTTGCCTTTTCATTTTCTTAACTATGTTTTGTTTAAGTTTGTGTTTTAAAATGGTTTGGCTCAATGGATAGAGCATTGGCCTGTGGACTAAAGGGTCCCCGGGTCAATTCCAGTCAAGGGTACATGCCAGGGCTGTGGGCTCGATCCCCACTAGGGGGTGTGCAGGAGGCAGCTGATCAATGATTCTCTCTCATCATTGCTGTTTCTATCTCTCTCTCCCTCTCCCTTACTCTCTGAAATCAATAAAGATATCTTAAAAATAAATAAAAATTCTATGCAATATTTAAAAAAATATTGAAATTCTAAAATTGATCTAAGTACATTTTGGTTTTTAAAGGAATAGCATTATGTAGCAGTTGAGGATTCTTTCCTCTTTAAGATAAGTAAAATAACTTACTTGGAGTTTAAAGTAGATTTACGAACTATAGATTTGACTAACGTATGAAATATATAGATGTAACTTTGATGGAATAGATAGCCCTAAAAAAAAGTTGGTGCCCCTTCCATGGGACATCTGTGGCAGCATCATAGATTGTAGTTATCAAAAATGGGTGTCACTTTTAAAAAATGGGTGTCACTTTAAAAAAATGGGTGTCACTTATGATTATAAATGTAGACATAAGTTACTTAACAAGGAAAACAGTATCAGCCACAATAATAGCTGAGACTATTGACCCTTCAAATTAAGAGGAATATACTGAAAGGTTCTGGAATAAGGTGTACCTTGTGGTTCTTGCCTTATATGTGAACTCTTTAGCACAAAACTGAGGACTGGGGAATCTGAGCCTTACCTACTCATTGTTCTCCAAGTCAGAATACCAAGAGAGTGACTGATTTAGGTATTCTCTCTGCTTTACATATGTGTGTGCAATTAGAAACAATCTCTGGGGAAGATTTGTCTGATGCCTATATTTTTTTGAAAAGAAAACTTTTATATTATTATTTAGGAGCAGGTAAAATAGTATGTGTACTGTGCTTTAAGTATACATATAAGTATATTAATTCTGTATTGTATGAAGGGGTCCAAGAACCTATCATGTAATAGAATGATTTCTTTCTACCAAATTTCAAACAACCAATTATGAAATGAACTTTTTGGGATCTTGACTCTAAAGCTAGAGATCACCAACAGGGGGGCTTTATTTTAGGCATTTTGCTCACGTGTATTGCAAAGTTTGATAACTCTTGGCAATTTCTCTATGACAAAAATATGAGGAGACTGTTAACTGAGCATTTACTGTGTGCTAAGTAGACCCAGTAGAGATTTGCAAAATCTTTTAATGGATAAAATTTTAATACAAAAGATTTTGTTGACATTGATGTCTAACTTTAAGATTTCTTGCTTCACTTAGCTGGTGTGGCTCACACACTGAAGGATCACGGGTTTGATTCCTAATCAAGGGCAAGTACCTGGGTTGCAGGCTCAATCCCCTTACCCTGGTTGGTCAGTCTCTCTCTGCCTCTGTCTCTGTCTCTGTCCCCCTCCCTCCCTCTTTTCCTCTCTCCCCCTCCCCCTCTCCTCTCCCCTCCTCCTCCCTCTCCCTCCCTCCCCTATATTCCTCCCTCCTTCTCTCCCTTCCACTCTTTCTAAAAAATATCCTCGGGCAAGAATTAGCAAAACAAAAAAAGTAGTTTCAGTAACAGCTTTCAAGTGAAGCATGTTGAAATAAGAATATTGATAACCTGCAGTTTTGAATGAGCTACTTAGTATATATAGTATTATGGAATACAATGATTCCCTTCTTTAATTTGCTAAGGAATAGAAAGAACTGCTTTAAAACTCTTAATTCATGGGTCTTTGGTCTTTCTGAGTTTGTGTCTTAAAGTTTTTAATTTATTTTAAGAACAGAACTTTTAAATTCTAGATCTAGTCTTTGGCATCTTTTATAAATATTGGAAAAATATCTCTCTTGACAGTAAATTTAAAGTGATTTCTTTGTTAGCACTGTCTGGGGCAGGGTGCCATTTCAGGGGGGTTGTGGGCTTCTTCACGAGGATTTCCAATGAAGAGCCCTTGGGGATTCTAATACTCAGAAGTTCTGATCCTTGTGGTTGCACCAGCTGCCTTGATCTGCTCCAGCCGTTCAGTAGCTGTTGGTATAAGATAAAACGCTCTGCTTCCCGCTCCTCTCAGTTCCTGGGCATGCAAACAGTGTCTGTGTGCCATCTGGTGGGTGTACCGGCTGTGGTGACGGTGCTAAAAGTAGTGGTTGAAAATAGGTTAGACATTGCAAAGATATAACATTTACGAAAAAGAGACTGAAGAAATGAGGGTCAGCCCCCTCTCTCTTTAAAATGAAAATAGAGGTAAGTG